TGATTAGATCTGTACTGGTACAGGGACCAATGATCTGTCTATTAGGTGTGATACCAAAGGGAAGTGGACTCAATGTCCACCAGGTCTCATGGTGCAGAACAGCCCTTATCACTGGATGTAGGGTATTGCTGCGACATTGGAAAACCAGAGGGGATATATCAGTGAAGGAGAGATTTCGATGAAATGGTTAAAATGTCCTCCTATGAAAGACTGTGTTATAAACTGATTAATAGGCATATCTACATGAAAATTTGGGGTCCTTCTGTTATGGAAACATGACGTGCTGAAGAGTTGCACCTGTTACCTAGATTGATACAAGGTCATGTTTTTTTATAATATGTATAATTTAAGTACTGTTTTACATAAGCTGAGGTATAATATGATACATGGCATATATTTTTAGGACATACAGGTTACTATGTAGAGCACTCTGTCTCTGTTATAATGCCCTGTCCTTGTTTCTGTCTTGTTTTAGTTGTAGTTTGCTGTGATGCATGATGTACACCTTACTGGCTTGGTTTGTATGCATGTTTTCCTTTTGTAAAACCATTAAAAAGAAAATTACAAAAAAAACCCCATACTTTGGTAAGTTGTGTTTCCGTAGGATGCAAGTCTCCTGGACCTGACAGGAGGAGCATATATGCCCACAAGTGTTCTAGTCTGCCATTTAATGCCATAGGAAGAAGAATGTCGACCAGCACGAAAGAACAACAACACGTTGAAGACAACTGTAAGTTGTATAAGCTGTAGTGACAGCTCTGCATCGACTCTGCGAAAAACAACTATCCATTAAGAACTCAAACCACGGTCCGAAATTGCCCTTTCACACATGTAGCACACTTACTGTCTGTGTCAGACATGTTCTCACATGTTGGAAATACAAGGAGAGGTGTCACGCCTGCAGAGTGCGCAGGAAGAGGACTCAATACAAACAGTCTCAAAATGACCACAAAAAGTGTGATAGAAAGGGAGGGCAGTGCGACTCTAGTCTTCTTGACACTTTGTAGTGTATTGAGATTTCATAACTTAACTATGAGCAGGACGCGCAGACTGTGTGGAAATCTGTTTTAAAAAAGAAAAAGAAAAAACTCAAAGACTCATGTAAGCTGAATGATAAAGTAAAGTGTGGAAAGCCAAAAGGCAAGCAGAAAAGAGTATTAGTTTATTGATTACATGAAGGCTACATGCCAATGTTGCTGTTTTTGTAATGTTCATATGTTTCGAATAAAATATATAAATAACTCTATGGGATTTATTGTTTTGTTTTATACCGTGGTATTGGTATATGGTACCGGTATCGACTAATACATTTATTTTATTGTGACATCTTCAATCTGACCCCCTAAAGTCTGACTTTAACAATATTTGTAAGTTCATAGAATCTGGTTTTTTTAATAATAGAATGAGTAGATCTAATTTTAAGACTTTTTAACAAGGTAATTTTACTTTTTTGTGTAAAAGCCATATTGGTCACAAAGTGCTAGCATTTTTTTTATATCCACGTATTAAGATATGTTTCACTAGTGCAACTACACCCTGAGTTTAATGTTACAATATTTATATTGTGTTTGTGAAACTATAAAAAAATATATATATATATATATATATATATATATATATATATATACACATGGCAGTAGGTTATTAAAACAGCATATTTTTGTAATTGAATGCATGGACAGTGATTTAAATATAATCATATAATTGTAACTCTATACTGAAATCAATGTTATGTGTGTCTTCCATTTTTCCATTTTTGTCCCACTTTGAATTCCCATCCCACTGAGCAACATTTTTATAACTTCATTGATTACTAACCACCAGTAATTTGCAAAGGGACATGACCATAAGTAATATTTACCTGTGGCCCCTCTGTTAACTCATCCAAAATGAAAAGGACATCTTTTTTCCAGGTACCGATAGTTCCTTCTGCTAGCACCCCCTCCGAGGCCCCATGTCCTGTGTAGTCAAACCTGGGAAAACATAAATAGAACAGCCCACGGCCATGAGTATCAGAGGGTAAACAAAGGCGAGCCATGAGAGGCCAGGGACATTATGAGAAGAGTAAATCAGTTATATATACACACTACACTGAACATGGGATTAGGCCTTTGAGTATTCAGTATGATTGAGCCATGTCTTTTATATCCAACCTCGATCGGAAATGGATTTGCAGGACCATGAGAGGTTTGGAAGGGTTGGATGTATTTAAAGATCACTACTTGATATAACTCAGTTACATTCAGAGGCACATTTTGTGGCAGCAAACTCTACTCTCCATAACCAAATACACTACAGTTTATGTTGTATGTAGGTTATCTTGGGGCATAAAGCTACTTGGAAACTAAATCAGTATTTACAAGCACAATTTAATCTATTAATTATAGTACAACGCTTAATCACATTTTCTATTGTGTCCTTATTTCACAAAAAATAAAACTCCTTTCTTCTTATAATTATCTCTGTAAATGAACGACTTTAAAAAATAAATAAATACTCGTTTTGCTTATTGCGCTTATCATCTTGTTCTTTGATCAAGTCTATCGGGATGTAACTGTGGGTGTGTGGTGGATGCATGCATCTTGTCCAGTTTATGCGTTTAATTTATTTAAAATCTGTGTTGTATGAATAGAGTTTAATCGGATTTAATGCTGACCACAAAGGTTGTATTGTTTTGTAGTTAATACAGGCGTTTCCCACCTTTCAGAGCTGTAAACCAAGACCATTATTACCTAGGACCATAACTCTATATATGTGCTGTGTCTATTTATTGTGATTTATTCTGTATTTAGAATGAGATTATGAGCATTGCATAGTCTTGCATTTATCTTTAAGACATATCTGGATGACTTACCTAAGGTATGAGTGTCCTAGTGACCTACAAAACTCCTCCAGTGACTCGGCTTTCTGCCCATTCATGTTGGACCCATATCCTGGGAGGAAGACCACACCTGGACTCTTCCCCTTCACTCTTCTGTAGGCCAGCTTTGGGAGGTCTGGCCGTGAAGCATACTGGACTGTGGACTTGTGTCTCCTGTCTCCTGGTTGACACAGTACAAAGCATTATTGTTCATGGCAAAAACACGTTATGTAACTCATTCAATAAACGCAATATTGGCTTAATGAGACACACAACATGAATACAATTTCACACCCCATTTTGTAGGTTAAGGCTTCTCTTGACGCAAATTAGAAACCCGCACATGGGAGAAGGGATCATGGGTGCTTTTTTTTTTTTTTGACACATCGACAAAACAAACAAATAATTGAGGCACAGTCAAACACCTTGGGTAGGCTAATCAACGTCGACGCGTTTTAAAATACTACGAGAATCAACGTAGACGACGCAAAAGCAGTCACAAGCGCAAAGGCAGCGCCGTTTACAAGACCTACATTTTTAAGACGACGCAGTGTGGGTGCGCCACACCCCCCTCTCTGCCTTTAAATACCCTTGTTTTAAACTCAAGCCGGGTTAAATTCATTATGCTTAAAGCGGACACTTGTACAAACCTTCCAGACGCTTTGAAGACAAAGCTGCGAGCCCTCCATTACTTAATATGTGTGAAAGTCCTCTGCGGCAGGACCTCAGCGCGACGGCTGCCATACTGCTCCGCGACCCACTGAGGAAGTATCGCGAGAGTAGGGCCAGTGAGTCTCGTTGACTCACAGAGCTCATCGATTGTAGTCCAGATTACATGACTACAACAGCAATGTTAAAATACTCTATTACAAGTCTTGCATTCAAAGTTTTTAGCAAAGTATCATTTAAAAAAAAAAAAGTAGTCATTGAAGTATTAAAATAAATAGTATTCATTATAATGGCCTTTGTTAATGTTATATTATTGCTTTTCTAAATAAATATTATTGATATATGTATGCAGCATTTTATTGTTATAGCTAGTCGAGGAGCTGATTTTTTTTATATACTGTTGGGCAGTTTGATGTTCACAATTTATCATATATTATACACTGACCATATATTTTGTATGCAAAATCTTAATTTGCAAAGTCACTATAGCCGTCAGACAAATGCAGTGGAGTGGTTTGCTGTTAGCAATTATATGATAACATTGTTATTTCTTTTCATGGCTAAAAACACCTGCTACTGTAGTTGGTTCTTACTCATACTCAAATCCCAAACTACTACTACTACCACCACCATATCTATAATGTCAGCCAAAATACTTTTGTTATTATTAGCATAACAAACCTAGAGGTATAGAGTAAATAAAACCCTTATAGGACTTAGTTAGTCTAGATGAGACAAGTTTCACATCCTTTTTTTTAAGTAACAGTAGCAATACCTGCATCCTAAATATCTCCTGTAAAGTTTATATTGTAGGCATATATTATATTATTGTTAATAATGATGCATTAATGTTGTATCTGGTTGAAGTGGGGCTAAATATACTATTACTAGGACTAAAATGCATCACATTTGTATGGGTTCATTATAGGATAATCATCATATCTTATAAATAAAGTATCTATCTATCTATCTATCTATCTATCTATCTATCTATCTATCTATCTATCTATCTATATGTTTTTATCTGTAGTGCAATATTTCCCTCTGAGATGTAGTGGAAGTAGAAAATAGCATTGTAATTGAGTAAATTATTTTTTTTATATATATATTTTAATACATTTTTTAAAAAAAGAGGCTCCTTAATGCAGAGGTGACTATTTTTTATTTTATTTTAAAGCAGGTCAATAAATACACTTTCTTTAAATAACTATCTTTAAATATAATGAAAAGTATACTAGCAGTGAACTCGTTATATATGTGTGTGTTGTGTGGTGTGTGTGTGTGTGTGTGTGTGTGTGTGTGTGTGTGTGTGTGTGTGTGTGTGTGTGTGTGTGTGTGTGTGTGTGACTGTCATGTGAAGTGTCAGTGTGTAACATGACTCAGAGCGTCACAGGCGGAAGGTCACGGAGCAGCAGAACGGAACGGAAGCGGGAGTAAAACAGCCCATCCGCCATTGTGGAATATGGTAAGGGATATTCCAGTAAGACACTAGTCCGTCTCAGATTGGCTGTTTTAAAACCAATATCAAGTGGCCGGATCGGACGCGTTTATTTGACGCCTTCTCCAACAGAGAGACAAAGTCGCCGTTTTTTTTTTTTTTTGTAAACAGCCAGAAGCACCGGGGATCCGTCGTCGGGGATCTGATCGCGGTGGTGGTGGGGAGGGGGGTGAGGAAAAAAACGCCGCCTTGTATCCGCTACAGAGTGATCAGAACAACCCCGAGAGACGAGCCAGGAAAGAGCCGAAGTGCAGATCGGAGAGAGAGGCAAAAAAAGAGAGGGGGGTGGGTTTTGGGGGGAGAGAAAGCCGTGGACAGTCTCACACAAAACAGCGATCAGTTTCGGTTCCTGGAGGATGTCTGCGACCACAGTCGATCAGGTTCGTGTATTGACAACTGCAGTGTGCGATAAATTAGCCGTGCAGGCGACGTGAAACTTTGCCGACAACAGTTTTGATCCGGTTCGGCGTGAGCGAGATCAAAAAAAAAAAAAAAAAAAGAGAAAAAGAAAATGTATGTATGTAATGTAGGCCGAGTGTATTTTGCCACAACAACTCTAGCTGTAGCCGGTTTGCCAATGCGGCACCGTTTACTGGATGTGAGTGCGTTTGACATCCGGTCAATAACACGAAGCAACCTGTAAATGTTAACATCCGGGCTGATGGGGTTTTTTTTTGTTTGTTTGTTTTGGCTTGAACCTGAATCGTTATATTTCATGTGTTATATAGGATACATCCTGCTCTCTCTGTGCGTGTGTGATTGTTGTTTCACGTCGTGATCTAACAGTCTCACCTCTTTTTTTTTGGTTCCCCCCCTTCCTGTGCTACCCAATTATTTCAGAGACCTAAAGGACAAGGAAATAAAGGTAAGGAGTTAAACCAGTGATGGTGCGCTGGGGGGGTTTTAAAATGTATTTGAGTGTGGCAGGGAGCTAACATGCTATCAGGATACTGCCTGAACTGCAGCTTATTTATGTTACCATTGCTGACTGTCCCTAATTCTGCATTTGTTTTGAGATCTTGCCATATTTTGAGTATTGACCAATACGTACCATCATCTTTAAATTCAATATTTGACGAATCAAATACAGTACATATGGTGATTATAATGTCCTCTCTTTCAATCCGTAGTGCAAAACGGATCAATGCATCAAAAGGATGGTGTGAATGATGATGATTTTGAGCCTTACCTAAGCGGCCAGACAAATCAGGTAACGTCCTGCGATGAACCAGTAATATGGTCAATGTGTCACCAAGAGCCTGTGGCCAGTATTTAGCCTTTAACATGGTATTGATAAATTAGTTGGGTAATTAAGGCGTCAGCCGCAAAACACATAAATACACTCCAGTTTGTGATTTAATCGTCTGTTTCTGAAGATTAAACTCTGAATAAATTATAACATTAAGTACATTAACTGACTGTCTCTCTATGTCTCACAGAGTAACAGCTATCCACCAATGTCTGACCCCTACATGCCTAGCTACTATGCTCCATCCATTGGTTTCCCTTACTCTCTGGGAGAGGCGGCTTGGTCCACAGCAGGAGACCCTCCTATGCCCTACCTAACTACCTATGGACAGATGAGCAATGGCGAGCCGCACTTCATCCCTGATGGTGTGTTCAGCCAGCCAGGTGCCCTGGGGAACACCCCTCCCTTCCTGGGCCAGCATGGCTTCAACTTCTTCCCTGGCAATGCGGACTTTTCCACCTGGGGTACAAGTGTCTCTCAGGGTCAGTCCACGCAGACCTCAGTCTACAGTAACAGCTATGGGTACGCCCCCAGCTCGCTGGGTCGGGCCATTACGGACGGACAGGCAGGCTTCGGAAGTGACACCCAGCTTAGTAAAGTCCCGGTGCTGAACAGCATTGAGCAGGGTATGACAGGGTTAAAACTGGGTACGGACATGGTGGCAGCTGTCACCAAAACCGTGGGCTCACCACTAGGAGGCACAGCAGGTATGGGCAGCATGGCGGCCAATAGCCTCCCTCCGTCTGTCAGCTCATCCGTACCTAAACCTGCCTCCTGGGCAGCCATTGCCAAGAAGCCGGCCAAGCCACAGCCCAAGGTCAAACCCAAAGCCAACATGGGGATGGGGGGAGGCGCCACCATTCCCCCACCCCCCATAAAGCACAATATGAACATTGGTACTTGGGACGATAAGGGCTCTCTGAACAAGCCCCCGTTAGCTCAGACTATGATGCCCCCACAGCCTCTGGTGCAGCAGCCTCTCCTTGCTCAGCACCAGCCCTTACTGCAGAACCCAATGCCCCCTCAGCCTCAACACCAACACCAACACCAACACCAACATCAACATCAACACCAGCCCCAACACCAACACCAACACCAACACCAACATCAACACCAGCCCTTCCAGCTCCAGTCTCTCCAGTCTCCCCAACACCCCCATTCTCTGCCCCCTGGCCCTCCTCACATGCACCTCTCCTCTCAACCTGGCCCCCCACAGGCCCTTCATCAGCAACAGCCCCAGCCGCCTGGTCCACCCCCCAACCGTTGGGTGGCTCCCAGGAACCGGGGCGAGGGCTTTGGCCTGGGTGGGGGAGTCCCACTGAGTGCCTCCCCTTGCTCTGGAGAAGTGCATCCCGTGCTGGAGAAACTCCGTGCCCTCAACAACTACAACCCCAAAGACTTTGACTGGAACTTGAAAAACGGACGTGTTTTCATTATCAAGAGCTATTCGGAAGATGACATCCACCGCTCAATCAAGTACTCTATCTGGTGTAGTACAGAACATGGCAACAAGCGCCTGGATGGTGCCTACCGCTCACTGGGCAACAAGGGGCCCCTGTACTTGTTGTTCAGCGTCAACGGCAGTGGGCATTTCTGTGGCGTGGCTGAGATGCGCTCACCGGTGGACTACAATGCCTATGCAGGCGTCTGGTCTCAGGACAAGTGGAAGGGCAAGTTTGAGGTGAAGTGGGTTTTCATCAAAGACGTGCCCAACAACCAGCTGCGACACATCCGGCTGGAGAACAATGACAACAAGCCAGTGACCAACTCCAGGGACACTCAGGAAGTGCCTCTGGAGAAGGCTAAACAAGTGCTTAAAATTATCGCCACTTACAAGCATACCACCTCAATCTTTGATGACTTTGCACATTATGAGAAACGTCAGGAAGAGGAGGAGGCTCTGAGGAAGGTGAGATAAACACACATACAAGGAGCCCTGTCCTCTGTACATAGCTTGTTTGTATGCATGAGGCAGTTCAGTGAAGTTGCCCTTTAATTCAAAGGGAGGCTAACTTTCACTGAGTCACTGCTACAGGCTGTAGCCAGACTGTAATCAGCTGATCTTGTTCCACCTGCTTTTAGACAGAGGTTGTAACATCCTGTGGCTGAATGAACAGTCTGCCGTAAATGGAAGTTCCCAGAGGCCTGTCAGCCGATTGACATGCCTCCATTACTCATAAGCAGGTTCAGGAAACGCTGATTCCTCATCAGCCATCTTGTGCTGTGGCAATGATCTGCCCAAGTGGAGTTAGATGCATAGAGGTTTCCTGAAATAGCCCACATTCCTGGCATTCCGTCTTTCAGACAAAGGCAGATGTAGGCACTGGTCTCCCTTTGAACGCCAAGCCTCTCTGCTCTCCACAGGCTCCTCATGCTTTATTAGTCTTTAACAACATAAGCCCTCGGCCTGCAAACTGGCTGCAATGTGCCTCAGAGTTGGTACAGTTGGCCTCAGATGTTCTAAAGGGTTCATTTGAATAAAATAAAATTCCCAGCAAAAAAAAAACACGATTTAAAATATGCACGACTACATTTGTCTGTGTACAGTTCTGAAAAGCACACACAGTGTAAAGCCTGCTCCCTCTGAGGGCAAACCAAAATATGTTGCAGTGGTAATAACAGTGGTGTACCACAAATGTTAGTCTAAGTAGTAAAAACTCTGTGGAAAAACAGCAGCCAAGGAGTGGATTACATGTTATCATTGCTTCTACTGCACCCATTCTTAGATTCACCAGTATGCTAATCTAATTGCGTTCAGAAAACCCCCATGCCCGGCTCCCTCCCTATTTCTCCCACTCCCCTACTGCTGGTGCTCCATTGATGCTGTATTGACTCCTCGCTGCTGACCTTGTTAATATGCACTGGGTTACTTTCTCATAAATATTTCAAGTCAATGTTTTCAGGCTTCTGAAAACAACCTGTCAGTAGAAAGCCTGTTTCATCCTGCGTTGTGCAGGCGTTGCGCTGTGCTGCTTTTGTAGCCCTGACCTCCTACATGACAGGATCGGCCCAGCTGAGGCCTCACCCTCCTTCGCTTGACAAGGTTAATTGTTCTCTATTGTTTGGCCTGTCCTTCCCGAACTTTGAGAGGTGTCAAACCAGCACAGCTACCTGCACTTGAACACCTTTCCAAAGTGTTTTTTTAAAAGATAACTTTGGATATAAATGTTGTTGCAGGTTTTTATTAGCATAACTAATTTGGCAATTAATACTTGGAGGTGAGCTCCTTCCTTCCTCTGGATATACAGTAATAAGGAAGTTATTGGCGTGTAATGATGAATACCAGTCTGCTGCAATGGTTACAGCCGTATCACACCAGTAAAGATGTGAATTGGGTTCATTATTATTATTATTTTCTGAATATCCAACCTACTATTTATTCAGGCAGAGGATTTGGGGCAAAAATCTAGTTTAGTTGAACCATTTTATGAAGAAATAAATGACAACCTTCTGTCAATTATTTTAAATCAAATAAATGATGATATGATCGCCATGGTTAGTATAAGGTCTGAAGGTATAGGCTGAATTTTGTGGTTTCTGTCTCCAGAGCCACAGCCCTGTCTCAGCAGCCCTTCTGAGGATAGTGTTACAGTGGGGGCTTAGTCTCACAGGGCTTTTCCCAGACCACTGACATGGACACCCACTCCTCAAAGAGGACACTGTTCCACCTAAAATATGGCACAAAGAATGCGAGTGGGTTGTTTTAGTTTCCGTGTTCTGTTTTTCTTCTAGGATTTTACTCCGCCCTATCTTTACTGACAGCAGCATTTCTCATTTTTTGTAAACCATGACACACGCTTGAATATTTGATATTTGAGGTGTGTTGTGATTACTCATGAAGTATGCATTTTGTCGGTTTTGTGTTTATCCACAAGACCGGCATTACTACAAGCTGAGTATAGTGGCTGGCTACACTGTAAACATAGCCAGACATTTGGTTAGTGCATACCTGAGGCCTACTGAACTCATTTCTCTCAGTTTCTCTTACTCTCTTCCTCCGTGTCTCACTGATTTTAACACTAAACAGAGAAAGTACTATTTATCTTTACTTTAGTGATTGATTAGTTTTAAGAACTAGAGAACTAAAATAAGATCTGGTTCTTGGCCTGTAAATACTATTTGGCAATGTCAAACTTTTATGGTTTTTTATCCTCGCATGATTGTTTTTTGATTTAATTAGATTGCCTTAAAGTGTGCTTAAATTGAAATATAATAATGTTTTAGACAATATAGCAATCATGATTTGGCTTTTTTGTGATCTAAGCTTCAAATGTTTGTCACTGAAATCAGGTTTAGAAACCAGCACTTTCCATCAAGAATAGGAAGTTAAACTGTACAGTATCATTATTTACAGGTTTATGCAGAAATGAAACACATGACATGAAAAGTGCATTTGGTTTTAGACTTCTGAAGAGACAACTGTTCTCATATAGTCAGAATTGTATAGTAAAACTATTTATTATTATTATTATTAAATACTTCATTGTCTTTCTGAGAGACCCACTCTGTTTGTCACACAGATTAATAAAGCCAACAGGATCTGTAGGTCAAGCAGTTTTATAGAAACAATTTGTAATGGCCTGTAACTGCAGCATCAACCCCCAGTTGACTAATGCTTTCAGCTCATAACTAGTGTTTGTGTTTTTAATTGATTATAATAGTCCCTACAAAGAATCAATTATACGTTAATATCTCAAAATAGAAACATTCACTAAATCCTAAGTAATTCATGAGATTTGCAGAGTGCTATGAATGCAGATCGACGCAATAAAGGCATCCATTCGATACATCTCTTCTAAGAAGTGCAATCAATACTGATTGCCTTTTTAAGTGGTTTATGATCCTCCCTGACACCCTAGTATAATTAGGAGCTCGTACTAGAGTGTCACATCTTCTTAGGAAGTCACATGTTGTCCCAGAATCCTTCGCTGAAGTGCGTTAGTCCCAACTTCACCTCAGACATTAATTGCATCTGTATCTGACAATATAGAACAAACTGTAGAAAGAAGTGTACACATCTTAAACTTCCCATGAATGAAAGACCAGGAGTGAAGCTCTGATTTTGCACTTTTTAGCTGCTGTTTTGGTTTGTTGTTTGTTTGTGTCCCTTGTTGCTCTTGTTCCCATCCACTGATTATCTCTTTTCTGTTTTTTTCCTTTTGCCAGGAGCGCAATAGAAATAAACAGTAACCTTCAAGCAAGCTCTCTGCTAGAACTGCAACACTAATTACATAGGACCTTAAATAAAAAATTGCCTAACCACAAGGAGGAAAGGCTCTCACGATCTTTCCGCTGAAGATGACAATGTATCTGAACACTTGAACATGACAATAGATGGACTCATCTGTATCCGTTGACTGGTGCATCAAACCCTGTGTTCCTGTCTCACGAGAAAAAGAACGTAACCCACTTTGAAAACTCTGTCTTTAAAGCACTTTCAGTCCTTCTAAACAGCCTCTACCAACACCCTTAACTCTCTAACTCTGTGTTCTTCTTCTTTGATTTCTGTTTGTGAGCAACTAACTGACTAACCAAAGTAGTCAGAAGATTTCACCAGGCTCATTTGTAATTTTTGTAATGCCTCAAATGTTTGGGATATTGGTGAGCTTCATCAGCTCTTGAAGAGAATTAGAGATATGTATGAATTAATCTTTTACTTGAATCTGTATTCAGCTGTCTGATCATCCTCAGACAGAGGTTTGGATGATTGACAGGTGGGATGAACTAATTGGGAAACAGCCACAATCATGCCAATCATAGGATGTATCCTCCCCCCTACCTGTTCCCTTCCTTTCTGCATCTGTTTCTGTGTACCAAAAGATTACAATTATGCAGCAGGCTGGCAATCACCGGCCAGCGCACATCTTTGGTTTTTTCTCTCTTGTGATTCTGTCATTCTGAAGTGCATTTGTCTGAGGAGAAACCTGCTGCCCTGGTAGAACTAGCGGTGGCCTCCTTGGGCCCTGTGGGTGACTGTCTTTGCTCTGATGTTGATGTACTCTACTGTACCTCAGGCTCAATCAGACTGTCTGTCCTCAACGACTCTTAGCACTTTTGGGAGAACCCCCGCATCACCCCTCCTGCTCGGCTTGACTGGGATTCTCCCAAAACTGCAAGACATCAACTGCAACGATGTGACAGTTTTCTCCTCTAGGTAACTCACTAGCTAAATAAAATTTACCCATGTTTAGCGCAAACCTTGCTTTTGTGGTTTTTTCCCTCATGTGCATCATGCATCTATGCTTCATGTCACAGTATCGCACGCATTCAAATATAAACACGTGTCCTTGCAGCACAAGTGGATCCTCCATTTTTATGTGCCTCTAAATAAAGAGGTGTATATAGAGTAGCATCAACTTCCATTTCAGCCTATTACTGACAATGTGTTGGTGCCAGGGAGGTGAGTTTGACCATATAGTTAAAATATCAAAGGTGTACAATAAATAGACTTGAAGATGACACCACATCGACATGTTTGCTATGTGGGAGGCAGTGCTGCCAGCCTAAAGTGGGTTATCATCACAGAGAAATTGCAGCATTAACAACCAATATTGGAATGCAGACTCTTACCTGTATAGAGTATAACAAGGACATGGTCGTGCAGACAGTGGTAGAAAGTAACTAAGTACATTTAATCAAACGTACTAAAGCACATTTTTGAGATACTTTCTCTTTACTCGACTATTTCTATTTAATTTCTTATCTAAACATTCAAATAACTTATCAAATATTTGACAAAAAACAAAGATTAGAGAAAGGGGTTTAAAGGGGTCCAACACAAGGTAGAGAACCACTGGACTAAACTAGCTAACTGTATATAAAGTAGTTAAATCCACAGGCTACAACAGTGAAATGCTACTTACACATTGTTAATAACAGCCATATAATGTTATATAATATAATATATCAGTCACAAGGGCCTCTGCATAATGAGTACATTTACTTTTGATACCTTAAGTACATTAACCTTTAAACTTTAAACTTTAATGGGATTTTGAGTGCAGTTTACTTCTAATGGAGTATTTATACATTATTGTATTGGCACTTCCACCACTGACTGTGGGGTACCTTTCCTGTCCGTGGTGAACCTTTGAACTGAGTTAGGAGACAAGAACACAAAAAGTTGGTTTTTAAAATAGTCTGAGAAACATTCAGGTAAAGGCAACATGAATCACCTGGCTGTTGCAAACCTGACATCAATTCCATGTTACATCTGTGGGATGAACTCAGGTTCAGCATCCTCCCTGAGCTGAATCTGTCCATTAATATTTGGTAGTTGCATGAAGCACTGATGTTTCTGTGGTCAGCTTTTAAGGCACAAACCATGATCCAGATGTACAGGGGTGGATCAAGAGAAATATTGTGTGGCATGGAGACTTTAAGGGATGGCAGAAATATATGCTGATTCACTTGCAAACAATCACATAAATCATTTGCTTAGAAAAGCACCTAAATGAATTTATTTAGAATCAAAAACATTAAATTACTGAGGCACATTAGTAAAGCATTAAATAGAAATATCTAAAGGAGGCTTTAAAAATCAATAAACTGTTTTATTTCCAAACCTTAAGACATTTTTCCAAATACACGCCTCTCTCACTGAACTTACTACTCTAAAATGTGGTCATAAAAAATCATTAAATTTTATGAGTTAATTTCTGCTTTTAACACGTTATTAGTCTAACTTGACAACTGGGGTGGCCAGGCACTTTTTAGGGGTGGGCGATTTTTACGCCGAGAAATCTGTCCCGCTTGCTGTTTTTAATCACGCACTCTTCTGTCTGAATGTGCAAGGGAGACCAAATAGAAAGAACTTTTAAGTATGAACTATTAAAAGTTGACAGGTGATGACTGGTACTTTTTCCTAGAATTAAGGCGGTGGTCAGGGTGGAAAGGCCACTGCAGCTACTTTTACACTGTGTGATACAGAAATTCCAAACAAATTAGGTTGTTTGAGTTTAATTGCTAGTACAGAGGTAGAGGTAATACAGTATGTATCGTAAGACATGACTCAGATATGTTCAGGGGTGGAAGAAGTATTCAGACCTTTGCCAGAAACGATGCCACACTGTGAAAATACTCTCTACTGATAAAATCCTGCATTCAAAACTTTACTTAAGTATGTAAAATGTACTTAAAGTATCAAAAGCTAAAGTATTCTGCAGGAAAATGGTCCCTGTCAGTGTTTCATTACTATATGTTACTAGATTACTCATACATTAATATGTACATTTTACTGTTGTAGGTGTTAAAGGTTGAGCTTATCACTCAACTACTTTAACTACTGCTGTTGGGTAGTTTAATCTACAGCAATGCGTTATATTCTATAAAATGATGACTGTTCTGTGGGAACCACATATCCCTAAAAAGACAACTTTTCATACGAAAAACATCCCTGTTCTTAACTTTGGGATGATGCATTTTCCAGCTAATCCAAATTTGGTGGGTAGTATGAAGTTGCATAAAATGGTACCTCAAATTTGTACTTAAGTACAAACCTTGAGTGAATGTATTTAGTTACATTCCACCACTGGACATGTTAGACCTATAAAAGAAGACATAAAACAGCAAACTTGAACGAACATGTTCAGGCTCTGTTGTGCATATTCTGTATTGTATTGTTTTTCTTAATTCACAGGAAAATAAACTGACTAATAACAATTAATTAGTCCTCTCTGAATTTGATTATGTGTGACTTTGCAATTCATTTATTTCACCCTGAAATGAATAACTTTTCTTTCACTGTCTGTCCACCAGAGTGCGCCATCATATCACTTTCCTTCAAACATCCTCCGCTCCCAAGACGCACTACAAAGCCTTTCCTGAAAGCAGCAAAGCCCTCTTTCTTCTCAAGCCCTCCAACTCCTGCAGACACAATTATACCAGGATGAGAAGCACTTGTTGTGCTTCCACAGCTTTTTGGAGCAATTAATGCCAGCTAACCAAGCTGTGTGCAGTGAGAGGTGGAGAAGAGAGGGAGAAAGAGGATGTGAGAAGGGAGTGAGATAAAATCCCCCTTTCTGTTTGTCAAGGAGGAAGAAAGAGCTGTAATTATAACATTGGAGGGTTTGGATTGCAACTTCTCTCCTCTGTGTGTTAATTTGTGCATCCATCAGGTTTTCGCAGGCAGCCTTTGAAAAGAACCACACTCTTCCTGCCTCCATTTGTCTGCGAACACAACAGAGAAACTAAGCAGTGAACTCGCTATTTATTCACCTCACAATGCCCTCACAATTACTAGTTGTGTGTGATGGTGCTGAGATGTACAAATTCTCAAATATGCAAAACACAGATTTAATTAGAGACCTCTGGTGTGATGTTGATTTTTACCTCGTTCACTGAATTGATGAAAAGTGCAGTAACTGTTGAAGTAGTGCACACTGCTGTAGCTTCTAAATCATTAGAATTAAACAGGAAAAACATTATGCAACTCGAACCCATTCCCTTCTTTCATTCAATTTCAAACAAATTGCCATGTTGTTCTTACAATTTAGGGATTAAACTGTTTAATGGCTTTAATGCTACCAGCAGCTAAATTGCCCCTATCCGCAGTGGTCAAAGCTGTTCCAAGAAAGTGCCAAGCAAACTTTTCTGCTTCCTTCTTCTCCTTTTTTTTTTTTTTTCAAACCATCAAAATGTCCTTCTGGAGAGGGATTCAGTTGAGGGAAGATGAGAGAGAAGGAGCATCCTCTGCTTAGTGAGCTGAAATGCCTTTGAAGTTTCAGTCACACTCAAGACTCATCAACACATGGCTCAAGGCAAGGTTAGGGCAAGTCTCAGGGTTGGCACTTCCTCGATGTTTTGAAGGATTTCACACTCTGGGCCATGGCGTGTCACTCAATAAGTCCTCACAGAACATTAGTCCTATTGATGACTATGTTAACTGACATGCGGTTGATCAGAGGAACAGGAAATTATTCTGAATATATGTGTCTGCTCTGCTGATTGTTTGTACACTGTAGAAAAAACATGCAGTTTAAAGTTGCCAGTGTAAAGTGAGGTAAATGAAAAATGTAAGTGCATCAACAATGATTAATGTAATGTGACTCACAGCTGAGTCCTAATATTCAAAGCTATATTGAAGTTTCAAGGTGTTATTCAGCAGGTCAGGTGCAATAATAAGCAGAATTTTATTTTTCATTTGAAAATATTGGGTTTTGACTGACAGTAATGTCTAAGTTTTCTTCCTGCCCTTTTCTGAAGTGTCTCTGTTGCCATGGTTATATCATTATCTGTGAACAGAAAGTAGAGGCTGAGCATTTTGCCGAACACAGTGATATGATGTAGATCTAAGCCTTAAAGACTTGATTCTTCTGCATACTATACGATGAAAGAGAAATTAAAGACTTGATTAAATATTGTCTCAATATGTTTTGTGTTTCTGTTAATTCAGTTGTTGAATATGAAAAATAATTATCAGACAAATTACATTTTCATTTTAATAGATCTGCATAGTTCTATTTATTAGTATCATGTTTCATATATTTTTGTTATACTTGTGTCTTTATTTACAGCAATAGGGTTCAAAAAGCAATTATGCAGCACATTCTGGTGTTTGAGTTGTTATTGTCTCTGATGTCCACAGGGAGGCGCCATCCATAAAAAGGGAAACAGACTTAAACCAACTTCTTCAAAGTATAAAAGCCTGACTGCTGAAATTGTTATACGTCTCATGTCACACTATTGTCAGACGTATTCTTACGTAGCTTATTCTCTAACAGCTCTGTGAGAATTTGGGCTTTTTAGCACAGTTTTGTCTTTAACTATGGGAGTCAGCAATGAGTCATGAGGGATATAAACCTCTTGAATATACACCGCAACATTTATCTCACAGTTTTGGAAATTATACACAGCCATTTAGAACAGTAAGCAAACAGAAAGTAACCAAATTTGACTCAGAAGAGACACTCGAAGCAGCAGAGGCCAAGATATCCTGACTTTTAATCCCTGTGAGCCCTCCAATTAGCTGAATCCTACATTTCCCATGATGCAACAAAAGGGTCTTTCATTAGACTTGCACTGATTTCTAAATACCAACTTTTTCAAACCGTAAACTTACAGTTTGTAATGAAGTCTTCAACCAGAGCCCAATGACATCATCAGGGTATATGTTCAAATGTTGGAAAGTTTGCTCCAAAAGCACAGGAGACATTATACTGTTTTCAGTTTGTTTTCACAGGCAGAGCAATACTCGAGT